GGCAGAACATTTTTAGAAATATATTAGCAAAAAGCAGGCACCTAGCCACAGTTAGGCCAGGCCTACTAAATCTAATGAGGAAAGAATATTTAATACGCATTTTTTAGATAATAAAATTTGATTGGTTTTCTGAGAATGCTGTCGTTGCATTATCCAAATGTCCTAAATGTGTGTAGTCAAAGTGACTGATCATGAACTACGCCTTGTTTTCATAGCCCTCAAATTCCTGCTTAACAAATGTTGCTGTCAACTTTTCAGTTCTTTATCAGTGCACTGGTGTATAGTGTGCATATTTTGAATTTATAGCTCCAGGTATGTTCAAAGTGTCCTGAGGGAGCTGTGAGACCCTGATCTTATTTCCAAAGCCAAAAAGAAATGTACAAACCTTTTTACACAGCTTGTGTTATGGTTGCTGCATTGTTGTCATTTTTGTTCTCTGAAATTGGTGCTTACAACTTTCTTTCAGTACTGAAATGTAGAGCTGAGGTAAACTGTGTCAAAATGTCACAGCAAATGTTGATTTTATTAATAACAACAAATATAAAATACATGCAGTCTTTCCTAACAGTGTGACCTTTCATGCACATGGCAGATATTGAAACGGAGCCAAACCAATCTGTGTACTACAGTTGTATGCAAAAGTTAGAACTCCCCCAGTCAAATTAGACGCTCTGTTGATTTTCTGAGTGAAAAGTTATCAGATCCTCTTAAGAGAACAAACTCAAATATGACATGTTCTGCACCAGTTAAGTTAAGTTAGACATATTGAGGGAAAAATCATTTAAAATGTTAATGTCATAATTTTTTGCACAGGCTAGATTGTAAGTTTAATATTTTCCCAATATGTTAAATTCAGCAAATAAGCAATAATTGTGCATTAAAGTGTGCAGAGGTGTGTTCTCTGTAGAGGATGTCAACTTATTTTCACTTAGAAAATCAACAGATTACCAGGGGCACCAAAACAGTTTACTGTATATTATTCTGTAAAATCAAGACATTTTTACACACAAAAAATTTGACTTCACAACTGGAAATCCGAAAGTATGAAAGTACACTGAAACTACACTGGTAGTTTATTCTCACTTGACTAGCATTTTAAAAAAAAGAAAGGCTACTAATTAAATGTGTTCCTCTTTATAATCACTCCTGAAATCCATGAGTGGGCAGATGCTACAGCCTTTTGGAACTTTGCATAATTAAACTGTGCACTCGAACACTCCCTCATGTGCTGCCTGTCATATCTGTCTGTTTGCGCTCCCCCGGCTCTGCAGGGCCAAGCCAGTGTGTCTACTGAAAGAAGGAAGAGAGGAGAGTTAAAGCCGAGTGGAGCTGGCAAAGCGAGTCGTTCAGGCTCTGTGGGTTTGCTCTAAGGTGCAGTGGAGGGAGAGATGTAAATAGTTTGAGGAGTTTAGGCCAATGACCCAAAGGTTGTATGTATTTCCAGTGTGGTGGTTCTGCCGTGCGAGAGATCTGCTGTCACGGGCTGGGCATGCGTCTGTGAGCGAGGCCGCTGTTGTGCTGTTTTGCACTTGATGGTTTTTGGGCCTTATGAGTTGCAGGAACCTGTCTGAGCGTGTCTGTGTGTGTGTGTAAGAAAGGTGTTCAGTGAGGCAGAGCCGTATGGGGGCTCAGAAAGCGGATCAGGACCCCTGCCAGACAACCAGAGAGAGAGGGGAAAACCACTAGAGCACAGGGATGTAGATGCAAGACAACATGCAGAGAGAAGAAGAAAGTGAAATGCCTGCAAGGAGACTTCTTTTTTCCTGAAGATGCTGCAATTCTGTGCAAAGCATAGCAGGGTAACTCTTTCACAATCTGCATTCTGTTTACAAGTTTTAGCCCCAATGTCTGCTAAATCCCCAATTTATCAGTGATGAATGAACCCTATTGATTTGAATTCAGTTCTTGTGGAAATGGCCAGGTTTTACTGGAAGAACCCTATATTTTGTCTGTTTCCGGTGCATTTTCACATTGATATACACTTTTAAATGGCATTTCCGTTTATAGATTTTTATAATCAACCAAAAAGTCTTAAATCTATAGTGTGAGAAACCGCACAAATAAGTCTGTTTGAGATTTCTGTCCCTAAAAATAGAACAGTTCTGTGCAAAGCAAAGCAGCATGTGGAACTGCAGCTGGTGGAGCTGCCTGTCTTCTGTTTACTAGTTTTAGTCGGAATACCTGCCAAATCCCCAATTTTACAGTGAGCCATGCCGTTGTTATTGCCTGATTATAAAAATATCATGGCAGTCAGTGGATATAATCTCACAAAAATGCACATGCTGTTTGATTCTTTTCTCTCTTGTGTACTGCTAAGCAGACTGGGGAGTGCAGCAATAGGAAGTGTGGATGGGAAGAGGAATCTGTGGATTACGGAGGTAGATTGGGGAGCAGAGAAATCTTCTTTTTATGAATCAGTGTGCTACTGCCTCTCGTAGCCAGCGCCCACTGGAGGGGCTGCTTTTCAAAGAGCAGCAGGCAGCAATTAGCAGCTTTTAGTGTAAAACCCGCTAAATACCAGGATTTAATGCCCAGTGTGTTTCCATTATGCCACTAGTGGTACTCATTTATTTGCATTGTGCCAAGTAAATGCAAGCTTTCTTGCTTGGTTTCTTAGTTTTCCACTGGATCTAAGCATCATCCCACAGATTTCACCTTGACATTTTAGTAATAAATATAAGGTTGACATAACTTAGTGACTTACTTAATTAATTAATTAATTAATTACTACATTTTTTATGCACATGTGAGTCCATCAGTTTGAATATTCATGTAAGATGTTAAGGTCAGAGATTCCTCTGGATTCCCTGAATCTTCAAATAATGTAATGAATTGTAGATGAAGGTAAAATCTCTAAATTACCTTCAGTTGAGTGTTGAGAAACATTATTCCTAACCTGTTGAACTATTCACTCAAGCAAGTTTTTGCACATTGGTGAATGTACCTTTCATTAATGCTCCTGTTTACCTGTGAAAAGTTCCAAAAGAGATATTTTTGATCATTTCACAAACTTCCCAGTCTTAAATCTGCCATGTCCCAAATTTTTATGTTAATGTAATGCAGGCGTCAAATTTGGAATTAGTGTAGATTTACAAAAATCAATAAAGTTCGTAAGGGATACTATTAAAAAATATTTTCTTTGTGCAGATTTCAATTAAAAACCTTCACCAAATCACTGCTTTCCATTTTATTTGCATTTTACCTACTGTCCCAACTTTTTTGGAATTGGGCTTGTAGCAACTAGCCAAATCTTAGCCAAGCGAAGGCAAAGTTACAAAGCTAGTATGGATACAAGGCAATAAAATCTACAAAACCAGTATGGCTACAAGGCTTACAAAGCTAGTATGACTACAAACAACAACAAAGCATGGCAGAGCACAATCAAGTGAGCCAAAAACTGGAAGCGAGTGATGTCATTTGAAATGTCAGTCTCCATGACGAACTAGGCCTCGCTGATTTTAAAAACCAAGCGTTTCTTGCCAAAAAAAATGCATTTGCGCCAAACTAAATTTGCAGTATGCCAGCCTTATACCTTTAGACTGCTCTTGTGCCTGCATGAAAATAGAGCCCTACATTAACAAAACACCCAAGTGTGTTATGATGCTAGCTGATGGCTGCAGGTTTCCATTACTTGTTAACTACATTAGCGTTTTATCTTAAGTGAAAAACTAAAATTTGAACATGTTTTGGCTGTTAGGTATGCTGTAGTGTTTACTGCTATTAAAAGAGACACAGCTTTTATGTAAGTCTTTATGTAAGTTTATGTAACCAGCTGTTGTTGGCCACAGCTATGCCGTACATCAGTTTTCTCTAAAAGGTTGCTCTAAGCCTAAGCTACACCTCATTCTCTCTGCCGTCAGCTCTTGACTTTCAGTTTTTGCTGCTCTACCACACGTCCCCTGGGGAAAACTAGCATTGCCTTCACATTAAGAGTCATCAGAATAACCTGTACATAAATGATGAAGAACCAATAACCTAAACCAACATTTTCAAAAACATTTCTTGAACACACTGCAATATTTTTTGCCAAATTTCCCTTTTAAGCGCTGTACAGCACGAGATTCAATCTATCTTTGTTCCTCTTTATTGTGCCATGCGTGCTCAAGAGCCTATTTTTTAGTGCTCAACTGTGTTTACAGTGTAATGCTGTGCTGTTTATGGTTGTATAAAAGATTCATTGCTCTAGCACTGTTATGCTGTCACTAGCCTAGGTGTGCCTATGCCTGTGTGTAGTGCATCTGCCACTAGCCTAGCAGCGTGTGTGCATGTAGTAATGCATTGTAATGTTGCCCCAACAGGGGGTAAATGATTTTGTAGCTAATGATTACTCCAGCTAGTAGGGGGTGTTGGGTTGCCCCGTCAGCTCAATGGGGCAAGAAGGGATGAAATATGTGTCTTCCACACTCAAACAACCCTCTATTTTCGCTGTAAATCCAACAGCTTCTTCTGCTTTTAACCCTGCTTAGTTCTGCTTCACAGAGCATACACAGTCTATACCCCATCTTAAAAGTGACAAAAGGACCCTTAAATTTGCTTCAGTAGATTAAAAATGTGGTTAGTTGTTGGTGTTGTGGTGTTTTGGCATACAGTGTCATATCCCAGGGTGCCAGTACAGATGTTTTGCTCCACAGCACCGCATGTCGTTGCTAGCTGAAACCACCCCTCATTCATAACTATCAGATGGCTCATCTGTTTCAGAGCTGCTGCATAGATGAGGGATGAGCTGTCTGAAATGGTCTGAAAAAGACTGAGGGACTGCTGGGTAATTGTAATTATACCCTCATTATTAAAGTCTAATGAAAGATAGTGTTAGTTATTAGACGTATAATTATGTGTTTGCTACTTGTGCTTTTGAAGTCTCTTGAAAGGGAAGTAATGATGAATGAGAAGTACTGATGAGTTTGAGTGAAAAATAATAATGATGATCTGTCAGTCTTGTGCTATGTATCACATGGCAGATCTCTTCCCTGTCTATGTTCCTTAATCGAAATTCCCCACAGATACAAGATCCTGCTGAACTCTGACGAGGTACAATACGGCGGGCACGGGCGAATCCAGCAAGACACCGAGTTCTGCTCTGAGCCTTTGGCCTTTAGGAATCGACCCAATTCATTTCTGGTCAGTTTCATTTCAATAACGTTCTCTGACTGCAAAATCAAATTTTTGTTAGTTAATTAAAGTAATGCTTTGTCCAAAAATGGAATTTACATAATTTTCCCTTCACTCTTAATGTAAACAATCAACCAAAATATGTTTTGTGTCAGATTTTAGCTTCCTTAGTTTTCCAATTGGACTAAAATCCTCATGCAGGTAACAGAAAATGCAAGCTTAGATTATCAATTGCTTTTATGGATAATTGACTCTTTTAACACATAGATCACAGCAGGTAACACAGATCACTACACAATACAAACATTGGGTCTTGCCAGGGCTGTGCCTCTTCTAGTCCAAAACACATTTCAGTGAAATCTGTACAGTCGGGGCACTGCTGTCTTGTGTGTAGAGTCATTTTGGACCCCTTCAGTTTGTTGAGTGCTTAACGTTACCAAAACTAAGGCAGGGATTGTGCCTTTCAGCCTGAGGGGAATATTTCCTGCCTTAATGGTAATAATATTGAAAGAGTACGTCCGTATAACTATCTAGTCACTATTTTTGATGACATTTTGAAATATAAATACAAATGTCACCCAAGGCAGTTAAACTACTTTGGTGGTAAAGAAAAATATTCTTTTTATTATTCTTCTATTGAGTGTCCTCTCATTTTCATGCATGTACTGGTTTTATTCTTAGTCTTAAAGGTGTAAAGCAGCTGCAGCAGATTGTGAATACCTGTTCTAGGATTCATGTTGTACAGTGCTGCTTTTTGTTCACATACTGTGATCAGAGGACTCTAAGGACAGCTAATGAGTCCTGCATGACATCTTACATATCCTGCATGGTGCCTTAGAATGGCATCCGTCTGGTCTGTGACTCCATTGCTGTCTATGTACAGTGTTTCACAGGAAACCAGCGCTGAGATAGTGCCACCCACTACAGAAATTTAGCAGCGGTGTGTTGTGTGTCATATGATTGGATGGTCTGTTTTTTATGTAGTTTTATTATTTTTTTATTATTTTCATGTTCATGTATGTGCCTACATGTCACCAATCTATAACGGCCCAGCCTGCGCCGCCGTCCACCAGCAGAGGGCGACAACGATGAGGTGCCATGAGTTCAGGGAACTCCAATTCCCAGAAGCCCTCGGGCTGATTAGGCCCAACATGGCACACCTGTGGACTCCTCTACTTAAGGCTGTGGCAAACAGCAGCCCTTTGTCACACCTTTGTAGAAGGGTGACTGGTATGGTACTTAGCCCACGTGGGTATTTAAACAAAAAGCAAAGAAATGGAAATGAAAAAGAAAAGAGGGCTGGAAAAAACAAAATAGAGAAATTGCCCCCAAACTGCTTAAAACCAAAAAGAAGGCTTGAGCAAGAAACGGCTCCAAGCCGTACTAAAAGTGTTTCAGAAACCGTACAAGCAATAAGTATGTGCATGGGCACCTGAGTACTTGGTTAACTGTTTGAGATGCCAGTATTTGAATACTAAAATAACTCTACTCAGGTATTTGATACATTTCATCACGTGAAGATGGAGAAAATACACAGGCTAACAATTCAGTGAAATTTTTATGTTTAACCAGGGTGACCATACCTCCACTTTTTCCCAGACATGTCCTCATTTTGGGACCTAAAAAATGCGTCTGGCCAGGATTTCTAAATTGCCAAAAATGTCCGGGATTCAGCTTTTGCTCTCTACAGTGTATGTTTTTGTATTGCTTTGACTCTTTAGGTCCCACCTTCTTGCACGCCACCATTGGTTGGTCACGTCATGCCCTTCATGCAAAAATTGGTCAAACTGCATCTCAGTCATTGCCCTCAGCACCACATCAACAGCCAAGACACAGAGCAACAGCTTGCTTGTCGACAGTCAGTGTCAATAAAGGTGCCAGTGATCTAGAAGCATGAGCACTGAAAAATGTCTAGTGCAGGGGTGCACAACTTCGGTCCTGGAGAGCTGACATCCAGCACAATTTGGTGATTTACCTGCTGACACACATCTGATTCAACTCATCTGTTAATTGCCAGGTTTAGTGGGTGTGTTTGAGTAGGAAACTACCAAACTGTGCTGGACACTGGCCCTACAGGACTGGTGTTGTGTGGCCTAGGGAAATAGTGTTTTTATTTTTTGTTTGTTTGGTTTTTTTTTTTGTTTTTTGTTTTTATATAACAACTGATTTATTTTATTTCAATTAATGACCATGAAGAGAAACAGTGTTATGTAAAATGTGTTAAAAGCTAAACTATTTTTTCACTTGTTTGGTTATTGTTAAGGTCCAAAATTTGAATGTAAAGAAACAAGATTATCTGCCCATAATGGCTATGAAAAGGCATGCAGGAAGTGGGGGTGCTGAGGGGGGCTGCAGCCCTCCCTGATTCACGAAGCTGATGTTAGATTCTCATTCGCCAGATTGTTGTTCGAATTTTCCCATTCCACCTTAAATAGTACCTGAGGTGCCAGAATGTAACTGCTGCACCATTTAAGGTGGAACGGGACAATTGAACAAGAAGCTGGCGAATGAGAATCTGACTTCAGCTTCACGTCTTTAGTGTTTGACAGTTTCTCATTGCAGATTAAATGTATCAGGAAACCAGCTGGAGTGATTATAAATGCAAACAAGTCCAAATTATCAATGTTTGTCTTAAATCTTTCTCTTTGCCTTTTCAATAGCTACTAGTTAGGCAGGACTGTTCTCTGTGTTGCTTTGGTGACCAGCAGTCTGCGCGTCAACCTTCAGGGTTAAAGAGTGAATTAGCAGTTATGCATTAACTCCAGCATTAAAGACCATTTAGTGTTAAAACTGTATTAGAATGATTAGCAGAGCTTTATTTTAATGCAGAGGAGGATTATTTTATTTTTACCTAAAAACCTAATCCTGCTGGGGAGCCACAACAGGGCAGTAAAAGAGCCACTTGTGGCTCCTGAGCCACACATTGTCGACCCCTGGTTTATACAATGCTAACTTAGTGGCTATAAGCTTGCATTAATTGCTTGTTAGAAAAACTAAAGAAGCAAACGTCAGACACCATACATGTCATGCCTGATCGACAACTTTTGGGGTTTGGGGTCTGTGTAAACTTAATTTTTTGGCTAAACTACTGCTTACAACTGCCATGATGATAGGAAGGAATGAAACCGGAATGAGAGAAATGCAGCTGGCAAAGTATCAATCTCCCTTCGCTCTTGCACCCCTATATGATGACATGTAAAGAACTGCTCCTAAGGACCACTACAGATGTTAATGAAAAGCTCATGAATAACTCCAGAATGGAAGAGGCTGCTTAGACTATATCGTGACCTTGAGCATCATCATTCAGAATGTCTTGAGTGAAATGCATCCCTTTACATCGACCTCGCTGACTTTTTTTAAAGCTATTTGACAGCATTCACTGGGAGAGCTTAAGAGGAACCATTAGATCATGTTATGCTAAGAGAGTCAAGCCTCTTACGAAAGTTTTGTGTTTATGTGCATGTAACATGATTATTAACATTCTAAAGCATCTTTAAGTGAAGTGAGGAGTCATGCAAAAGTCCTATCCTTTGCCACTGCTGACTGGGTAATACGTCACACTGTCACTTCTGAAGAATTCAGTGGTTCGACATTTCTTTTACAGGCCACTGAATGAGGATATCCAATTTCAAAAGAAATCCTCCAAATAATTACACAGAATCAACAAGGATGCTTTATTAGAACCAAGAACGTGAGAGTTACGTGTGTTAGTAAATCAGCTACGTCTCAAGTTGCTGTTGATCAGCAGGCCCTTGAGTAGACTTATGAGTTTGTTTACCTTGATAGCCTAATTAGCAGCAATTATGGTGCCAAAAAAAGACTTTAAGGCCCAGACGAATAAAGCCAGAGGTGTTTTTAGTAGATCCAATCCATCTGGAGCTTAGACAAAGACAGTCTCAACTCAAACTCAAACTTCCATCCTAAAGCTGTGCTTTTACAAGATTCTGAACAAGGCCAGGTGCTTGTCACAGTGGCCGTCTCTTTAAAATATACAACATCCCCAGACCGCTTGGAGTATCACAATAAAAACCTGTCCAAGAAAACAGGCTGTGTGTGCTGTGCTAGAGATAAAGATCTGGGGTTCCCTAAGAGGAAAAGAGCCCAAACTCACAGTTGGACCCCTATTGGCAGATGAGTTGGAGAAGAGTTTTAAGAATTGTGAAATAGACAAGAGGGGTGGAGAAGACAAAGGAAGGCACATAAATTGGGCTTATCACTACTCTCTCGACAGAAAATCACAAACAGGAAGAAATATTGACCTCTAATGGTCACCTTTAGAGTACTAACAGCACTGTTTGCCAAAGCTCCAACCCTTAGTCAGGACACTGGTGGCTCCGTTGAGCCCATTTACTTGAAACAGTGCTATTTCGGCATAGACACTCAGTTGAAATGTTACTTTCAATAGTATCACTTTCCTCTCTTTAGTGTGCAAATTATTTTTACCCATCAGAAAGAAACGCTTTGGCTTAGAATACTTTCAAAAAATGCTGCTATAAAAAAAAAAAATGAAAAGGAAAAAAAAGGATAATCAGTTTCTATCCATTGCTATGACACTGAAGGTCTGCATTTAGATTGTAAAGAGTGGTGAAACAAAAGCTTTTTAACATTTCACACAATTAACCTATATGGTCAAACATGTTTTTTTTTAATCAAACTATTAACTTCCTTTGTAGCTTTTCCTCTGCTATTGCACCTGAGTAATGCACAGAGACAGGGTTTTCTTTTTCAATTTCAAACCAATATCTGGACAATCATCTACATCTGAGGTTTTCAGCAACACTATTCTCTGCTTTAACCTACTTGATTCATCAGCTCAAGCCTATTTTTGATCTGAGTCTGATATGTTAGGGCAGGGAATATTCAAAGCTTTGCAGGCCAGTGGGCCCTCAGGAGTTAGAGATTGAGAACCTCTGATCTAGATGATAGTTTCTGCTCTCTATTGAGCTGTTTCCACTCTCTCTGCATTGGACTTTACATCAGTATCTGGTTGATCTGAATGATTTTATATT